AAATCTTAAAGTTAAATGTGAACTAGTTGAAGAACACTGGAAAATATATTAGGCAGTGAAAAGATTATGTATAAAGAAAAAGGTTATGTTTCTTGATCAGAAAACAATGTTATAAGGAGAAAATTACATTCAGATTAGTTTTTAGGTTTACTACATAATTAATTAAAATCTCTCAGATGATTTTTGGACTTTGACATTATTCTATTCATAAGAAAGAGTCAATAAAAGTTATTATCTCTTATTTCTTTCAACAGACTTAAATTCTTCCAGATCAATGGCAGGATACAATGAGCATGTGATTCTGTATGGGACTGTGGTTTATTAGTCCCATTTATTATTAGTCTAAAATATTTACTTTTTAGTCTAAAATATTAGATGTTTGCATGTTGTTCTGCCTCACTGGATCATCTGTAACCCAGCCAGTGGAATGTTAATTCTTTTTGAATTATGTATGTCTATATGTGTGTTTAAGGTAGCTCACTGTCAATAATCTTTGAATCTGCATCTGAGTCCTGTGGAATATGAAGTTCTGCTTTAGGCTATTTAAAATTAGCATTTGACAATGTCCATAAAATATGGTCTAATTTACTGGTTCTCAAATTTTAGCATCTATCACAATAGCCTGGAGGGCTTGCAAAACAGATTCTGGTTACCATCCTCTGAGTTTTAGTAGGTGTGTGGTGGAGCCTGAGAGTTTGTGTTTCTAACAAGGTCTCAGGTGACCTTGCTACTGAGGGTTCAAGGACCATGCTTTGAGAACCACTGGTTTTTCCTCCCAGTTCTGTCTCTGTTAACAAGAGCAGGACGAAGGAAGCTTGAAGAAAACAGGGAAAATTCCATGCCAATAGTGCAAGATTTATTCACAGTCATAGAACAATGGTACAGTGTAAATTATACAAGAAGGTCTTTGTCTGCAAACAAAGCTTTTTTCTAACAGTGACAACTTGCATTTGAGCAGTGGTGAGAAAGCATATCTATTACACTTGTTTTCATTTTCAAAGTTTACTATCATTTTAAAACTAATGTCTTCTTTGGTTCCTTGTCCATTATAATTTGTTTTGTGAGGATTGCTTGTTATCAAAGATAGCCACCATTTAGAGACATTTAAAGTCAGTGATATTAATTAAGGATAAATTTCAAGTAGAATACTTACACTAAAAAAAATTATTTTGCTGAAATCAAATCAGTTAATGACTTTGTAGCCACAGTAAAATAAAATAAGAGTGTGCTCCAGAAAGGGCTAACACTTATAAATCAGACATATAGTGATATCATTAACAGTGCACTAATATTGCACTGGTCTTAGGAAGAAATACAAGAGCTGAAAGTAATCATTTTACTGAGGCAGTTAGACTTCCCTCATTTTGTTTAAAATTGCATCCACTCGAGCACTAGTTCACTGTTTGCCTACTCTATTTAAAATTTCTAAAGTTTTTCTATAATACTTTTTATCTTTTAATGTTCTATATAACTTTCTTAGTTATTAAATTTAGTGTTTACTATCTTATCTCTTTTCCATCCACATTTCAGGCAGTCCTCAATTTAAGATGGTTCAACTGAAGATTTTTTGACTTTATGATGGTGAAATCCATACTCATTCAGTATGCTTCTGGACTTACAATGGAATTACATCTAGATAAATCCATCATAAATTAAAAATATCATAAGTCAAAAATGCACTTTTGACATGTGATATTTTCAACTTATGATGGGTTTATTGGGACGTGACCCCACTGTAAGTCCAGGAGCATCTGTAAGGCAAGTTCCTGCAAGGGCAGGAATTTATTGTATTATCTAGAACACTGCTGATACATAATATGTCTTCAAGTATTAATAATTTGTCAAATGAGTTCTAGAATCATAATATCGTGTGTAAATTTGTTGTGTACATGCTGTGAGAAATGTAGCCAAAAAGGAAAACAATAACAAAAGTAAAATTATGGTATATTGGAAATCACCTTAGACATAGGCTTCCAACGTGTGAAGACTTTCCAAGGGCAGGCATGAAATGGTTTTAAGGAAATCTGTTTCCAGATTATCAATTAAAAGCAAAATGAGACACCACCTTACCCCCATCAGAATGACCATTATTAAAAAGTCAAAAACAATAGATATTGGCATAATTTTGGTGAAAATAATGGAAGGCTTATACACTATTCGTGGGAATGTAAATTGTACAACCACTATGGAAAGAAGTATGGAGATTCTTCAAAGAACTAAATGCAGACCTACCACTTGATCTGGCAATCCTGCTACTGAGTATCTACCCGAAGCAAAAGAGGTCATTTTATAAAAGAGACACCTGTACCTGAAATTTTATCGCAGCACAATTCACAATTGCAAAGATAGGGAATCAGCCTAAGTGCCCATCAACTGATAAGTGGATAAAGAAAATGTAGTATATTTATATCACCAAGTACTATTCAGTCATAAAAAGAAATTAATGTCTTTTGCAGCAACCTGAATGGAACTGGAGACCATTATCCTAAGTGATGTATCTCAGGAATTGAAAAACAGATACCACATGTGCTCACTTACAATTGGGAACTAAACGAAAGATATATATGGTCATAAAGAGCAGTAATGGACATTAGAAACTAAGAAGTGGTTAGAGAGGAAGGAGGGTAAGGGATAAAAATCTACCTATTGGGTACAGTGTACACTATTCTGGTGACAGGTACACTGAAAGCCCTGACTTCAGCATGACACAGTTTACCCATGTAACAAAAAACACTTGTAACCCCCTAAATTTTTTAAATAAAAAAATAATTGACCTATATACATATACTTCTTCAAGGAAATTTGACAGTGAATAATAAAAGATGTTCAAGCATACCTAAATTCTAGGTAATAAAATTTGTAGTGGAATTTAGCATGCTAAATGATAATTAAGGAGTGTTCTCTTGGGGTAAACATGGTGGTGGGTAGCTGGATTAGGCAGAGGAAAAAGTCACGCTGTAATGCCAGCTCAAGGACAGCCTTGGCCAACCCTACAGGGCGCTCAGGAACAGTACTTAAGAATTGTCCTAAGTTAGACTGAAACGTCCAGGTCTTTATACTCTCACATCAATCAGTCACTGAATGTGTGACACCTTATGAATGGGTGGGACCTTGAGCAAGGTGGATATCTGCAGCTGAGGCAATTCCTGAAGAGGCTGACAGCTGAAGAATTTCTGCAGAGAGCTTTTCCTGCACCTGGAGCAAGAAGTCCTTCATTGAATGGTAATCTGGGCAGTGCATCCCTGTGTCCAGCACAAGTATATGTTTTCCTTCAGAGTAAAATGCTGTGGGGGAAGGAACAAGTTCAAGGAGTAAAAGGAATGATAAAATTCAGACTGTGGAGAAGAGTGTGTTCATGTATTTTTTTTTAATAGGTGATGTTGAATAGTAAATAAATATAGTATTTAAATTCCTTTAGATATGTATAAAAAGTTATGTAGAATTGCTTCTAAAATATTAGTATTTATAGTATGCTAGAAATTGCTTTCTTTGCAACTACATAATGGTATGATAAAAGAATTTTAGATGTCAATGTAAAATATATGAGGGAGTACACTGCTTTTCAAAATTAATTTATTGAATAAGCGAGCAAAAAATGTTGGAAGATGATTGATCTAATCTGACAGATCATTTCACAAATGAGACTACTGGGACTCAGAGATGTTATAAGATTTGCATATAATCATACTAATAATGATTGAAACCAGGCCCATAAAGCAGTGATATTACCTGTCCATTTTTCCTTACCTGATAGTTATGGAGACTCATTAAGCTATTATTTGTGAATGCATTCTAAAGGGAGTAAAGCTCTCATCAAGGACTTCTTAGCCTAGGATGCCTGGACCCCTTCAAATTACATGCAGCAATGTGCATATTTTATGCATTTTGTGGGTGGGGAGAGCTTCTATAGCTTCATAGCCACTGTCGAGGGGTCAGATACAAATAAAACTTATATAAATCATATGTGTGTAACCCATGCAATTGCTTTCTCAATTTAAATTCATTTCTTTATTGAATTTTTTCTTTGAGGCCCATGCTTTTCTGATCCTCTTGCATGCTCTTGCCTTTTTTCTCTTTCGAAAATGTCAAACAGTTGCCATGCAGAGAAACTTCCTTGTGTTGTATCTTGTACTAAATCATTCCTGATCTCAACAGGGTGATCTAGTGTATGTTAACTATGCACGAACTGAAGACTTCTTTAAACTGGAACGGGACATGAAAATCAATTGCTCTGGGAAAATTGTGGTCGCCAGATACGGAAAAGTTTTCAGAGGAAATAAGGTAAAAATCATCTGTTTTTCCTTTTACCTAATATAAAATGTTATAGTGGATCTTACATGTGTAGAACCATATCCTTAAAACTTTCTGAATACCACAATCCCCTTATGTTCATGCCCACCTTACAGGGAGGACACATTTACTAGTTTATAGGCAGAGGTTAAATCGGATCATCAAGATTTGGCCAGTGTAGATGGTCATGGTGAACCGAACAGACTTTTCTGTACTTACAAGTTAAGCCTGTGGCCTACAAAGAAACATTCACTGGGTTTGTTAACTTTTAGTATCTGTGTTTTAAATATCAGCTCCAAAAATATTTACTAAATTAAATTTTAATATGAATTGTTATTATAGGTAATGAGAGAAATCAACTTACACAGAAGATTTTTTTTTTTTGAGACAGAATCTCACTCCGTTGCCTGGGCTAGGGTGCCGTGGTGTCAGCCTAGCTCACAGCAACCTCAAACTCCTGGGCTCAAGTGATCTTCCTGCCTCAGCATCCTGAGCAGCTGGGACTACAGGTGCACACCACCATGCCCAGCTATTTTTTTTCTATTTTTAGTAAAGACAAGGGTCTCGTTCTTTCTGAGGCTGGTCTCAAACTCCTGAGCTCAAGTGATCCTCCCACCTCGGCCTCCCAGAGTGCTAGGATTACAGGTGTGAGCCACCATGCCCAGCCTGAAGATTTTAAAATTACTATCACTTGATTTGTTAATATATTCATTTTCTTTTGTGGGAAATTTCAAAAATATTCCCTTTCAGCCATAGAACAAATAGGAATCTGGCTTGTGGAGTCTACTTGCTTGTTGTGCTTCTAGACTACTGGAAGGAGACAGCAAGCCCTTGCTACCACTAACATGAAAATTTTCCAAATCTGTTGCTCTTAGGCCTGATCCATTTTTAGAGCTTTTAGGAAAAAGCAAAAGCCAATTCTTTATGAGATGCCCTTTGTTGTAAGCCTAACAACAAAAGGTTGAAGATAAAGTTCTACTACTCATTTAAATGTAATTTTGAAAATTGATGTTACCAAATCTGGAATAGCAAACTTAACGAAAGACACTGTGTTTTCCAGGTTAAAAATGCCCAGCTGGTGGGGGCTAAAGGAGTCATTCTGTACTCAGACCCTGCTGACTACGTTGCTCCTGGGGTGGAGTCCTATCCAAATGGTTGGAATCTTCCTGGAGGTGGTGTCCAGCGTGGAAATGTCCTAAATCTTAATGGTGCAGGGGATCCTCTCACACCAGGTTACCCAGCAAATGGTGAGTGATCAGACCTCTATCATCACAACAAATGTAACATTTTTAAGTGATTTTATTAAAGAATTTTGCTTTGACACAATGGACTAAATATGTCTTTCTTCTTATTCTCTTTGCATCTAAAAATTTTTAAATTTCAAACTCTGAAGATTATTGGTTCAGCTCCCTTATCCCTTATTTGTAAGCTTAGGTTTGATGGGCTTTGGACTTCAGAATTTTTCAGATATTTAACAAGTAATATGGTGCATATACTATATATTACATAACACTCACATAGGAGCCTGAGACAGAATACAGTAAACAAGCATATAAATATTTGTGCAGCAGGATGTATGCACACTCACCCTAAGTGGGGATCAATAGGAATGTAAATAGACTCATATCTACTCAAATCATTTGCTGTCAAATGAGTTCAGATCAGATTAGGTTTTGCTGTCAAGTAAATTCCCCTGAAATTTATAGTTTTGACAGTTCTTTTTGGATTTCCCAGTTGTGGATAAAGGACAGGAGAACAAAAGTTCTATAAGCTCATTAAATGTCACGTTTAGAATATAGAGCCCAGATAATGCATGTTGCTCTTTTGCTATGTAAAGATAATGTTGGTAACTATCAAGGACTGTTTTCTAAATGCCAGTGTTTTACTTGCATTAATATCCCTAAAAGCTAGGTGGTGTAATGATCTCTATTTGATAGGAAGGAAAGTGAGACTAGGAGAAATAAACAAACTGCCCAAGATAATCACTCCACTAAGTGAAGGTCTGGGATTCACATTCAGGCAGTGTGGCTCCCAGAGCCTACATACTTGTCTTTTGATGAAATGCTTCCCTGTGAAACATTAGCAAAGGGAGCTATTTGTTTTGAACACACTCAGCTATCTGATGAAGCTTACAAAAATCTGCGATCATTTACCTTGTGTAGTTTAAAACTCAGTAAATTTGTATGACTTAAATAAAATTCTTTGCCAAAGTATATGTGGCTTTTACAAATTTATTCCTCATCTGGTTTTTGTATTAAATTGTAGACTGCTCTAAAAATTATGTATTTTTGGCTTTGTAAATCTCCTTAGAGCATAGTACATTGTCATATTGTTTTCTTTTTTTAACAATATATTTACCTTATAATAAAATCATATGACTCTACCTAGACTTCACTTACTCCACCTTTTTATTTCCAAGTTTTTAAAAAATGCAGCTTCTCCCAAGTTCTTTTAGTTATACAAAGCCAAAATTGTGAAAATGAAATGAGATTAACTGGAATATTTTTGTTGATGATATTCAAATTTGAATGATAGTATTTTGGGGAAAGAAAATCATGTTATTTCTACGGGTCTAATGTTTATTGAATTCCCTTTTGTGCCCTATTCATTTTATTCTTCCTTGTAATTTTACTTTTTATATATGGCATATATTCTAACATACGCAGATGAGATTGAGTGTGTTAAAAGTGGTATGGCTATGGACAGTTCTAACATACAAAAGTAGAAATAGTTATCAACACTTTATCAATCTTGTTTTATCTATTCATCATCCCCGTTTTTGTGATTACTCTGGAGAATTTGAAAACAAATCCCATACAACAGATCACTATGTCATTTTACTCATAAAAAAATAAGCTTTTGTAATTACCTAAGTTTCTTATTAGATAATTTAAAAACTTGAAGGAAAAAAGTTGAAAAAACAGCTCTCATTTTTCTTAAATCTGAAGAAATTATGGAATATGTGTTCTTATTTTGAGGTAGACTTTAAATGCAATAAAATGCATAGATCTTAAGAGTTCAGTTCAATAAATGTTGAAAATTGCATACATTTGTGTCACCCTGAGTAAGATGTTATGGCTTTCCCCATCACTCCAGAAAACTTTTTTGTGCCTCTTTCTGGTCTATTTTCATTGTACCCTACAGAAGCAATCAGTGTATATTAGTTTGCCTGGTTTTGAACTTCATATAAGTGGAGTCAGACAGTGGGTATTTTTTGTGCCTTGCTTATTTCACTCAGTGTAGTGATTTGAGATTTTCCATCTAAGTGTGTGCATAGTAAGTAGTTTGTTCTTTTTAGTTGTTGAGTAGCATTCCATTGTGGGACTATACCATGGGTTATATTAAATATTTTCATTCCGTTGTCAGAAACCTGAACTGTGTCTAATATTTGGCTAATATAAATGTGGCTGCTATAAACAGTTTTGTATAGGTCTTTCTATGGGCTTATGTTTTTATGTTTCTTGAGTAAATACCTAGGAGTAGAATTGCTGTGCTATAGTGTACGTTTCTGTTTAACATTACTTTTCTAAAGAATTATCCTAAGTAATTATATAATTTTAGACCCTCATAAGCAATGAATGAGAGTTTCATTTGTTCCACATTCTTGCTAACATCTGGAATTGCCAATTTTTAAAAAAATTTTAACAATGATAGTTAATATAAAATGAGAATGTGTTCTATATGATTTACAGAGAGCCATTTGAAAGGTACTAAGTTTTTATTGGAAGTTATGTTCAATTATTTTTTTCCTAGAATATGCTTATAGGCATGGAATTACGGAGGCTGTTGGTCTTCCAAGTATTCCTGTTCATCCAATTGGATACTATGATGCACAGAAACTCCTAGAGTAAGTTTGTAAGAAAGAAATGGATGGTTGTTTCGGTCATTCTCATTATCGATAGTTTTCAAATGTTATGCTCTTATCTCCATTATTTGGTACTGAAATTCTCTGAGATGGTGAAGCATGAAATTTTATCACCATTTTATAGAACAGTGGTTCTATTCTGAAATTTACTATCTATATGAGTATCCAATATGTGACAGCTGTGAAAATTAGCCTTTCAGATCTCTAACTGCAGTAAGCATAATTGACCAATAGCTCCAGCCACTGTGCTTTGAAACCCATCACCCTGTTTGTTCCAAGGCCATGATTCCCATAGGTGTTCCCTGGCAATGACTGAGTGTGGCAGAGGTGCTAAGACAGGCCCATTCCAGGAAGGCTCAGGACCCCTCTGATGTGAGGCTTGGGCCCCAAAACTCTCTGATAGCTTTGCTCAAATAGATGCTGCAACCAATCCTCCTTTCTTTTCTTCCTCCTGTTCTCCTTTACTCAGTATCAGACCTACATTGCAGTCTTTCTCAGCCTTCCCTGGCTCCCTCATTATTTCCCTTACAGTCCTTTCCCCTAATAAATCTCTTACGTGTCTATTCTTCTTATTGTGTTCTTGAAGGACCCAAAATAACATACTGTGAGGGCAACTTCCATTTTATTTGTATCTATATTCCTCTTACCTCTTTGTTTTCCTTGTTGAAACTTCTCCAGCTTTGTTACTGTTTATCCTGGCATTGGAATGCTTTTCCCTTTCCGGTGCTGTTTCTCCCATCTGCATGTCTCTCCTTCTCTGTGATTTTTTGGAAGGGGAGATAACACTGGCTCTTCTGGAAGTGAAGCTGCTAGAGACCAAAGTGTCTGGCTAGGTAGTCCCTTTTCTTCTTTGAGTTCAAGGCATTCTTAATCATTTTATTCCAGTTTCTATGAGAAAACATTTTATGACCCAGTGCAAGGCTCTCATTTTTACAGGTGAGGAGGCTGACAGCCAGAGAGTTGGATAGATCTGTCCAACGTAAGGATACATTAAAGAAGTACCCTGGTCTTTTTTTTTCCCCCCTTTGGGCTCTTAGTTATACCACATCAGTTAAGATTCAAGATCAGGCACAACTTTGGAGGACACCATAGACTATGCATTTGCCTGAAAATATTAAAGTTTATAAATAAAGTCTAAGTATTGATGACATTTAAAAGATGAAAGTGATTGTAGCAGTAGTTGTAATAATGGAAAACTATAAACAACACAAATCTCCAGCAATTGATAAAGAGTGAAATATATTACTGGCTACAATGGTGCAGGAAGGCATTAAAATGTAAGTTGTACAAGAATATTTAGTGATATGAAAATATGCTTGTGATATACTCTTAAGTGAAAAAGAGCATATTTCAAAACAATATATAATACTATAATCTCAGTTATATAAAAGCTTAAAAAATGAACCTATGTTATCTTTGTAATTAGGAAAAGAATGCATGAAATCATATATTAATAGAATTGAATATAAGATTTATTTAACTGTGTCTACTATTTGACCGCTCTGGTTAATAGGTCAATATCAGCTTGCCCTAACTGTGTAGTAGAATCACTTGATTGAAAACTTACAAATACAGTTTATCTCAAATTATTTTGTCAGCTTCTGTAAGCCATTCTGTAAAAGTAACCACTATTAATAACATAACTTCCATAGACAAGTGTATTTTGTATGAAAAACTCCATAATAAATGTCCTATTTCAGGATACTTCCTATTTCTTCATTCGTACTTTTCAAGGCATAATGAAATATTCTACATAATTATAATTATGCTTTAAATTTTTTTAAAAGAGTGTATCATTTATTTATGAACTTCACTGTGAAAGTTTATTCCCTCCTGCACATTTAACTTGGAAGTGTGCCAGTTGTTCATGATAGTCAATTCTCAGATTCCCACAAGGGATTAGCAGTTTAACATTCTGTGTTAATTAGAAAAGACAGTGTTTAACAAACTGGATATATCATGAAATTAAAGTTTATTAATAAATATATGAGAAGAGGAGGAGAAATATAATGTCATATAATGGCCCAAGAATGCTGAGAACTTAAATAAAAAGTTGATGATATGTGAGTTATAGTAAAATAAAACTTCATGTTGACTTGGGTGGAAGAAAAAGGAGACACCATGTATGTTCTTTCCTATTCTTTACATTTATACTAAAGGGAGTGTGATTGTGTGGTTTTTATTTTTCTTCCAGAGTAACTCCTAGGATGATAATGATGGCAACAACAGTAATAGTAATAGCATCTATCATGCATCAAGTGCTAATTGTGCACCAGCAGTCACTATTGTGCTAAATGTTTTACATGTATTTTCTCACTTAACCCATAAAACGACTATATGAGTTAATATTGTGACACTCATTTTATAAAAAAGAAAACCAAAGATCAGACAGTAAGCAATAGAGCTGGGACCCAAACTCATGTCTGGTGCAAAAGACGGCTTTTACAAACACTGCTCATTCTCTACTCAACAATACAAGCATTTAGTAGGCACCTCTATCAGTCATGACATTTTCTCATTATTATGCCTCTGCTCAGGAGACCTTTAATGGCTTCCCATAGTCAATTCACTTAAGGAACATTTATTTATGGAATGACTTTTACATTTCAGTACTGTGGTAAAAGTATGAATTACATTTAGGCTTTGTTCTCAAGGGCCTCACAATGTAGTATAGAGCTCACAGCTTAATAGAGGTTACATGATAAATAGCAAAATTCTGGCACATCATTGTATCCCCTTTACGATCTAGCTCCCACTACCTTTTTTTTAAAAAAAAATAATAAGCTTATTTTGAGATAATTACAGATTCACATGCAAGTGTAAGAAATAATACAGAGAATTCCCATATATCATATAACTAGTTTCCTCCAATGGCAACATCTTGCAAAATATAATACAAATCACAATTAAGATATGGATATTCACACAGTCAAGATACAAGACATTTCCATCACCACAGGAATCCCTCATGTTGCCCTTTTAAAGCCACATCCACTTTTCTTCTGCCCACCCATTCCTATCCTCTGAACATATTATCCCTTAGCAACTACTAATCTGTTCACCTTTTCTGTAATTCTGTCATTTCAAGAATGTTATATAAATTAAATGATTTATGTAACATTTTGGGATTAGTTTTTTTTTTTCTAGCTTAACTCTGGAGATTTGTCCAAGTTGTGTGTGTATAACTGGTTTGTTTCTTTTATTGCGGAGTAGTATTCCATCATATGCTGGGACCACAGTTTTTTAACCATTCAGCACTTGAAGGACAATTGGGTTGTTCCCAGTTTGTGGTTACTATACATAAAGATGCTACAGATAATTATGTACAGATTTCTGTGTCAGCATAAGTTTTCATTTTTCTGGAGTGCAATTGCTGGGTCCTGTGATAATAGCATATTTACTTAGAGTAAATCATTTTACATCGCACCAGCAATGTATGAAAGATGTAGTTTCTTCCCACACTTTTGTAAACACATGCTTATTTTTAACATCGTGAAATATCAGGCTCACTTTGTATTTTCTTTTAACATTCCAGTTTTCTGAGAGTTTTTATCATGAATTGGTGTTGAATTTTCCTAATTTTTTGGGAGACGTTGTTTGTTTTATTATTACATCAATTAATATGATCATGTGTTTTTTCTTCTTTCAGCCGTTAATATGGAATGTTACATTGATTGACTTTTGTGTTTTTTTCTGAGTTTATATATATGTTTTTTAATTTAAAGAAATTTAGGGGGTACAAGTGTTTTTTGCTGCATGGATGAATTGTATCATGCTCAAATCAAGGCTTTCAGCATAGTATCATCAGAATGGACTACACTGTACCCAATAGGGAGATTATTTTTCCTTATTCCCCTCCTATGCTCTCCCCTTCTTAGTTTCCAATGTCCATTACTGCTCTTTATGAACATATATCCCTCATTTGGCTCCTTTTTATAAGTGAGAACATGTGGTATTTCTTTTCCCATTCCTGAGATACTTAACTTAGAAAGTCTCCAGTACTATACAAGTTGCTGCAAAAGACATTATTTCATTCCTTTTTATTATTGAGTAGTACTCCGTGATATATATGGAGTAATACTCCATGATATACACCACCATATATCACATGTATATGGTGTTGTCTGTGTGTATATATATATATATATATACACACACACATACACATACACACACACACACACACATACACACACCGCATTTTCTTTAACCACTCATCAGTTGATGAACACTTAGGTTGGTTGCATATCTTTGGAATTGTGAATTGTGCTGTGATAAATGTTTGAGTGCAAGTGTCTTTTTGATATCATGACTTCTTTTCCTTTGGCTAGATACCCAGTAGTGGGATTGCTAGATTGAATGGTAGGTCTATTTTTAGGTCTTTGAGGAATCTTCATACTGCTTTCCACAGCCATCGTACAAGTTTACATTCCCACCAACAGTGTACAAGTGTTCTAATATTTTCACCGCAACTGCACCAACGTGTATTGTTTATTGATTTTTTTTTAATAATGGTGATTCTGACAGGTAAAGTGATATCCCATTTTGCTTTTAATTTGCATTTCCTGATGATTAGTGATGTTTCGTATGTTTATTGGCCACTTGTCTATCTTCTTTTGAGAAAAATGTGTTCATGTCTTTTGCCCACTTTTTGATGGGGTTATTTGTTTTTTTTTTCTTGCTTGTTTGTTTGACTTCTTTGTAGATTCTGGACATTAGCCCTTTGTCAGATGTATAGTTTGAGAATGTTTTCTCCCATTCTGTAAGATTGACTGTTTACTCTGTTGATTTTTTTCCTTTGCTGTGCAGAAACTTTTTAGCTTAATAAAGTCCCATTTATTTATTTTTGTTATTGCTGTGTTCGCTCTTTGGGTCTTATTCATAATTCTTTGCCTAGACCAATGTCTAGAAGAGTTTTTTCTACACTTTCTTCTAGAATTTTTATGATTTCAAGTCTTACCTTTCAGGCTTTAATCCATCTT